TGTTCTAGAGAGGTTCTTTTGATTACAGAAACAAAGATTGACTAAGGCCAGCAAATTTGATATTCTGATCTAGCTTCCTCCTGCATTCTTCTCAGGGCAAAACTGAAGTGATATGAAGGGAAGTCATTCATGGAGGCTGGGTAGCCTGCTTCTCAGTTCTTTACCACATCTCTTCTACCACTATACCTTTGGTTCATCCATCCATTCATCATTGGTGTCATGACCTTGACTGTATCTCTTGGCTTCTTCCTTTTAATAAAACTTTGACTTCTACTGCTGCCTAATTATTTTGACATTTTGCAAGTTCAACTCCCATAGAGGGAACCTGATTGACCCAGATTATGTTTATATATTTTTGACCACTAAATAGGAGTGTTCAGTCAGCAATAAGGTCCAGTCACCAGTGGCTTGCAGTAGGATTGTGGAGACTATAGGGTGTTGACTGGCAGGAGTCCAAGGGAAAAAGTAGGTATAGAATGTTGGTATATCAAATGTGATCTGTACCTTCAACTGGTACCATCAACAATCGAGTTTTCTTTAGACAGGACCATGGGTGTGACAAATACTGTTGTGTAGATGTAGTTATTGTGTTGTTGTACAGTAAATTACTGATGTTCTTACTTCTCCCAGAAACCATTGACTATCAATATGTCTTCCAATTTTGACTCTCTTATAGTATAGCCTGCTTCTAAATCAATCCATGGCAGTTAGTGAGATGAGTATATAAAGAAGGAAAACAGAGGATAAGAATCTTGGATTAGTTTAAAGTTGCTATCAGAGATCTTTTAATATATCCCCCTGCATCTGGGTATATACACCCATATCATATCTTTCAAAGAGACAATTAGTCTATCCTTCTGTACTTAGTCTAATCCTGGGTCAGCAGCTCCCATGGTATTTAATCCATTTTTTTTTCCTGATAGGCTTCATAGTATCAATCCTATAATGGTCATCCTGATTTTTTTTAATTTATTTATTTTAATTGGAGGCTAATTACTTTACAATATTGTAGTGGTTTTGCCATACATTGACATGAATCAGCCATGGGTGTACATATGTTCCCCATCCTGAACCCTCCTCCCACCTCCCTCCCCATCCCATCCCTCTGGGTCATCCCAGTGCACCAGCCCTGATTACCCTGTCTCATGCATTGAACCTGGACTGGCAATCTGTTTCACATATGATAATATACATGTTTCAATGCTATTCTCTCAAATCATCCCACCTGTGCCTTCTCCCACAGACTCCAAAAGACTGTTCTTTACATCTGTGTCTCTTTTGCTGTTTCGCATATAGGGTTATCGTTACCATCTTTCTAAATTCCATATATATGTATTAGTATACTGTATTTGTGTTTTTCTTTCTGGCTTACTTCACTCTGTATAATAGGCTCCAGTTTCATCCACGTCATTAGAACTGATTCAAATGTATTCTTTTTAATGGCTGAGTAATATTCCATTGTGTGTATGTACCACAGCTTTCTTATCCATTCGTTAGCTGATGGACATCTAGGTTGCTTCCATGTCTTGGCTATTATAAACAGTGCTGTGATGAACATTGGGGTACACGTGTCTCTTTCAATTCTGGTTTCCTCAGTGTGTATGCCCAGCTGTGGGATTGCTGGGTCATATGGCAGTTCTAGTTCCAGTTTTTTAAGGAATCTCCACACTGTTCTCCATAGTGGCTGTACTAATTTGCATTCCCACCAACAGTGTAAGAGGGTTCCCTTTTCTCCACACCCTCTCCAGCATTTGTTTGTAGACTTTTGGATAGCAGCCATTCTGACCAGCGTGAAATGGTACCTCATTGTGGTTTTGATTTGGGTTTCTCTGATAATGAGTGATGTTGAACATCTTTTCATATGTTTGTTAGCCATCTGTATGTCTTCTTTGGAGAACTGTCTGTTTAGTTCTTTGGCCCATTTTTTGATTGGGTCATTTATTTTTCTGGAATTGAGCTGCAGGAACTGCTTGTATATTTTTGAGATTAATTCTTTGTCAGTTGCTTCATTTGCTATTATTTTATTCCATTCTGAAGGCTGTCTTTTCACCTTGCTTTTCACCTTGTCTCCTTCGTTGTGCAAAAGCTTTTAAGTTTAATTAGGTGTCATTTGTTTATTTTTGCTTTTATTTCCATTACTCTGGGAGGTGGGTCATAGAGGATCCTGCTGTGATTTATGTCAGAGTGTTTTGCCTATGTTTTCCTCTAGGAATTTTATAGTTTCTGGTCTTACATTTAGAGCTTTAATCCATTTTGAGTTTATTTTTGTGTATGGTGTTAGAAAGTGTTCTAGTTTCATTCTTTTACACGTGGTTGACCAGTTTTCCCAGCACCACTTGTTAAAGAGATTGTCTTTTCTCCATTGTATATTCTTGCCTCCTTTGTCAAAGGTAAGGTGTCCATAGGTGCATGGATTTATCTCTGGGCTTTCTATTTTGTTTCATTGATCTGTATTTCTGTCTTTGTACCAGTACCATACTGTCTTGTGGCTTTGTAGTATAGCCTGAAGTCAGGCAGGTTGATTCCCCCAGTTCCATTCTTCTTTCTCAAGATTGCTTTGGCTATTTGAGGTTTTTTGTATTTCCATACAAATTGTGAAATTATTTGTTATAGTTCTGTGAAAAATACCATTGGTAGCTTGATAGGGATTGCATTGAATCTATAGATTGCTTTGGGTAGTATACTCATTTTCACTATGTTGATCCAATCCATGAACATGGTATATTTCTCCATCTATTTGTGTCCTCTTTGATTTCTTTCATCAGTGTTTTATAGTTTTCTATATATAGATCTTTTGTTTCTTTAGGTAGATATATGCCTAAGTATTTTATTCTTTTTGTTGCAGTGGTGAATGGAATTGTTTCCTTAATTTCTCTTTCTGTTTTCTCATTGTTAGTGTATAGGAATGCAAGGGATTTCTGTGTGTTAATTTTATATCCTGCAACTTTACTATATTCATTGATTAGCTCTAGTAATTTTCTGGTGGAGTCTTTAGGGTTTTCTATGTAGAGGATCATGTCATCTGCAAACTGAGAGTTTTACTTCTTCTTTTCCAATCTGCATTCCTTTTATTTCTTTTTCTGCTCTGATTGCTGTGACCAAAACTTCCAACTATATTGAATAGTAGTGGTGAGAGTGGGCACCCTTGTCTTGTTCCTGACTTTAGGGGAAATGCTTTCAATTTTTCACCATTGAGGATAATGTTTGCTATGGGTTTGTCATATATAGCTTTTATTATGTTGAGGTATGTTCCTTCTATTCCTGCTTTCTGGAGGGTTTTTATCATAAATGGATGTTGAATTTTGTCAAAGGCTTTCTCTGCATCTATTGAGATAATCATATGGTTTTTATCTTTCAATTTGTTAATGTGGTGTATCACATTGATTGATTTGTGGATATTGAAGAATCCTTGCATCCCTGGGATAAAGCCCACTTGGTCATGATGTATGATCTTTTTAATATGTTGTTGGATTCTGTTTGCTAGAATTTTGTTAAGGATTTTTGCATCTATATTCATCAGTGATATTGACCTGTAGTTTTCTTTCTTTGTGGCATCTTTGGTTTTGGTATTAGGGTGACGGTGGCCTCGTAGAATGAGCTTGGAAGTTTACTTTCCTCTTCAATTTTCTGGAAGAGTTTGAGTGGGATAGGTGTTATCTCTTCTCTAAATTTTTGGTAGAATTCAGCTGTAAATCCGTCTGGTCCTGATCCTGATATTAGATTCTATTATTTCCTTTTCCCTTGCATGCTGCTTATTTTACTGTTTTTCTTCCCCCATTAACCTCTTTTAAGCCTGAATGATATTCTTCCTCTTTCACTCCACAGATTGGAAAAGAAAAATTTTTTTAAGTTTTCTTTTTTTCCCCTGAAGGAAGTTCCAAAAAGCAAGCTTGGATTTGCCTACATGGGAAACTATTTACATAGCATTTGCATTGTATTAGGTATTATAAGCGGGCTTCCCAGGTGGCACAGTAGTTAAAAAGTCCACCTGCCAATGCAGAAGATACAGGAGATGTGGCTTTGATCCCTGGGTCAGGAAGATCCCCTGGAGGAGGGCATGGCAATCCACTCCAGTATTCTTGCCTGGAAAATCCATGGACAGAGGAATCTGGCAGACTACAGTCCACGGGGTTGCAAAGAGTCAGACACGACTAAAGTGACTTAGCATGCATTCATGAGTGTGCGTGTGCCTGCACACACAGGCACACACACATATTATAAGCAATCTGGAGATGATTTAAAATATACAAGAGGGAATTCCCTGGGTTAACCACTCTGCAGTTCAGCTACATGGGGCATAGGTTTGATCCTTGGCCAGGAAACTAAGATTTCACATGCTGTGCAGCATGGTCAATAAATAAATAAATAAAGTAAATGTACAGAAGGATGTTCATAGAATATACTACATGATTTTAAATAAGGAACTTGAGCACCCCCAGATTTTGGTATCTGTGGGGGTGCTGGAACCAGCTTCTCACAGATACCTCACAGTTGTCTCAAGGGACAACTATATACTCTTGCTTCTTAGTATTTTTCACCCAGGCTAACTTTTTTGGCTTGTTATCTTCAGTTTTGTTGGGATTCTTAAATCTTGATAGTCAGGGTCTTAGGATCCCATACAGAAGCTAACATATGACTGGAGGAATTAAGCTTGCAGTTGCTTTTTTCTACAAGTATTGGTATATATGATGATCAGGTTGAGAATTTGGCTGGAGTTAAAACATCTTAGGAGAGATGGAACATCATGGAGTTTGAGGAGAAGGTGTTAATGAGGAAGGGAAGACAGGTTCCTTACCTGGGGCATTGTTTCTCAAAGTTAAGTGTTTCTAGGAATCACCTGGGTATCTTGTTAGAGTGCAAATTTTAATTCATCAGGTTTGGGAGGAAGCCTAACATCTGGGATTCTGCATTTCTAACAACCTCCCAGGGGAGGTTCACAATGCTGGCCTGCAGACACACTTTAAGGAATAAGAACTTTGGGGTTTCATGTTTCCAAACAGCTACCTCTGTATTGCTCCTCCCTGTATCGCTCCTCATCGTTGCCAGACAGCTTGAACAGTCCAAGTCTGAAGCAGGTGGTAAAATTCAAGGACAGCACAATACCAGATAAAGTAAAAAAGAAGTATTGTTCAAACCACAAAGAGCTCAGAAAGGTAAGAAACTTTTTTTTTCTTTTTTTTGTCAGAAACTTTTAAAAAAGACAGTCTCTTTAATCTTTATCTCATCTTCTCCACCTTTCTGGGTTGGGGGTTGCTTTCGCATAGCTTTTGGCTGTGTACTTTTACTTTTATCTCCTCTTTCCATTTTCCTTTTCTACATCTGCACCCATATATAAAGTATTTAATAATAAATATGTTATATTATAATTTTGGAAATGATATCATTATATTGTCTTCCCAACCACCTTTTTTTAAGATCTGAGAGAATACAAGGGAACTCTGATTGAGAAGGACATTTATTGCTGTTTTATAGGCATTTGGACAGAAATAACATCATAGAGATGATGTTTTGGTTTGCTGGAAAGCAAATTCTGAAAAAACTTAGCCCTCATAAAACTTAAGTAAAAACTTAGCCCTCATCCTGTATGTCTCCTTTAAAAAGGAAATCTCAAAAAAAAAAAAAGAAATCTCAATACATTTGGCTATTTTATGAAATCAGTGTATGACATTATAGAAAAATAGAAAATTCAAAAAAGCAAAAAGAAGCCATTGCAAAATGTGCATAATCCCACAGGCCAGAGATAATTACTATTAATAATGTATAGCCTTTCAGACTTTTTTTAATGCAAATATGTTTTTTCTTTTATTAAAGAGGCATTACAAAGTACATGTTTTCTAACCTACTTAATGATGTCATATTTTCAAGTTAATGAAGTTAATTTACAGCTTACTTTTTATTCCCTAATAGTAATTGATAATGTGTGGATATGATTTGTTTAACCAAGATCCTGTTATTGATCATTTAATTTATTAGTAATTTTTCTCTATTGTAAACATCCTTAATAGCCAAATCTTTCTACATATCTTTATTTTCTTAGTAAAACAAGTAGAATTATTAGATCAAAGAGTATGCATATTTTTAATGAATCTCCCAACACTCCTTCCATTCCTTGGTTTTTAAACCTTTAACATGAGGATTGGGGTGGGGGGAATCTTGTCTCAGGACTTAGGTCTAAAGAAGATGGTCTCCCTCTGTGACATCAACATGACTCAGATGCTGGAGGAAGATTCAAACCAGGGGCCTCTGATTGGTGATTTCTCCAAGGTGAGTTTGGCTACTCCAATCCTATATTTCATCCTATATTTTGGATCTGAATCTTATCTGCTTTCAGAGGACACTAAGTTTAATTAATATGTGTCTTCAGCAAGTACTCACTGATAACCTGAAGGTGCTGTAGTGGTAGATCTAGGCCCTAAGCCTTTCATGAGAAAGTATCCCTTATTCACTCTGGAAATATCTACAGAAGTGGAAAAAGTATGAGGCTTTCTTTTGTCTGTTTTTTGGTGGTGCCCTATGGCATATGGAACCTTAGTTCCCTACCCAAGGGTCGAATCTGTGCCCCCTGCAGTGGAAGCACAGAGTCTTAACCACTGGACTGCCAGGAAGTCCCAAGTATGAGGCTTTCTACTTTTTTAAAAAACATTTTAAAATCATATTTGGTGACTACAGAAGATAGAAAATGGAATTTACCCCAGATCTTATCAAAGTATTATTGTTTCTATTTATTTATTTTTTTGGTGTATAGTTTGGTGTATATCTCTGTATGTTTTTTCACAGAGACAAATGCATGTACACAAATACACTTTTTGTTTTTCCATGTTTGTTTTGAGGTTTTTATTCCATCTCCTTTGATATATCAGGAACATCTTTTCATGTCAATAAATAGTTCTTCATCATTTCATCACTTTTAATAACAGCACACTATTTCTTTTTTTTTTTTTTGGCTGCCCATAATTTCCTGATAAACCCTTTCTTGTTATTTACTTCTACAATTTTTCCTTATGAACTGTACCAAGATAGACATATTTGTGGCTATATCTAAGAATTTTTAAGCATTCGTAATTAGCTCCTTAGGTTCAGTTCTTAGAAATGGAATCATTGCATATGCTCATTGAGACCATTGATTTCTGAAGGCATTTGGGGTTTTAAATGTCATTTGGATAGGACAATATATGGGTCATGATTTCAACTTTGGGTATAGAGAACTTGCCGTTTTTTTAGCTTTTGGGTATTTCTAGGTATGTGCACTGCCAACCGTGTCAGGGAAACACCAAGATCTGAAGTACGTCAACCCAGAAACAGTAAGCAGATTTCTGGAGATGGTAACTGGTTACATAAGCTGCCATCTGGTCTGTTCTGTCCCTAAAATCCCCACTTCCATTTGTATTTCTTTCACTTTGTTCACTCATGTGGGCTCTGTATTCAGCTGAAGCTATGTTAAAAGACTCATTTATATGTCACCTTTGTTTGTAATTAAGCAAATGATATATAATTGTTACATAAGAAAGGAAGGAGGAAGGGGAAGGGTGAAAAGCAAAAATCACCTGATTAGGCTGGCCTTACATCTTGGTTTACATGTTGCAATTCCATTTATGCCTATTACTGGATATTATTAATAGTGCTCTCTATCACTCTCAAAAGTATTCTAGTTTGTGCAATAATTATTTTGTCACTTTACCCATTGGTCTCACCATCAGAGATAAGCACTAGTCGTACTTTCCTTATGGCCTTACAGATTTTATTCTGGTATAATAAGTTTTATAAAAATAGTATCATAATAAGCATATAATTTTGTAGTTAGCTTAATAAGTCATTGTAAACATCTTTCTGTATTATTAAAAAAAATCTATATTATCCCTTTGATGGCTATGTAATATTCTATTATACTGATAATATATAACTTTTTAAACTAAACTTCTTTTGTTGAGTATTTAAGTTATTTATAATATTTTGATAATCTAAAGCAATGGTGAGATCAACATTATTGTGCCATATCTTTATGTACTTCTGTTTACTTAAGATGCTAGAAAAGAAGTTGCTGAAAATGTAATTACATTTATTTATTTTTTTATAAGTATTTACAAAGTTTCCTCTGGAAAGTTTGAGCCAATTTACATAACCACACATAGCTTAAGTTTCTTCCTCTGGATATCAACCGTTTCCTTCAATATCCCTTTTGAGAAACTCGCTTTCTACTCTTCCAGTGGAGGGTAGGGAATCATTTCTCATTTCTTCTTGTAAAATTGAGACAGCTGCTACCTGTGCCCTTACAGAAATCCTTGGGTGTCTTCTCAGAGATTGATTGTAGCCGTGTCTTCCTCCAAATAAGTAGCTTGAATGTTCTCCCTTGTGTCCTGGCAGTACTGACTGTTTTGGTTCTCCAAAAGGCCATTTCCTATTTTATTCTCTTACTTGCAGAGGGTTGGTGGGGGGGCAGTTGCACCATTGCCATGTTTCAAATATAGGGGGACTTTGGAGGCTGGGCATACAGTGGGATCCTGAGTGACTAAAAGGAGTACACATCAGGAACTGGGTGACTGGCTCTTCTCTCCCTCCGAAGAGGCAGGGTATTCAGTCATAGTTTCTGTACAGGTGGCTGCCTTGCTATCAGGGGAGTTCCAGGGTCTGATTGAGAAGTTTTATATCATCGATTGCCGCTATCCATATGAGTATCTAGGAGGACACATTCAGGTAAGGTTATATTGAGGACTTAGCAGGGGAGGGCCTGGAGATACTGCTTATTAAGAAGTCTAGACAAAGGGTCCTGTGACCTCTGGAACCAGGGCAGACATTATACATTTGGAACACATCAAGGTTGTCAGTCCTCATTCCTGTTGTAATTCTGTGAACCTTGAGCAATTTACTTTCCCTTTCCCTCCTAGACCAATCTGCCTCTTTCCTATAGGAGCCAAAAGCTCCTACCTGGACATAAAAACATTAATCCAGGGATTGAGCAGCACTTTGCAGACACTTATTGCTTACAGACATTTCTCACAATAATCCCTGCACTTCAGGCAGTTCCGTTCTATAAATGTTTATTGAGCACCTAATATATAACCAAGCTCCATGCCAGGCCCTGGGGGTAGATACAGGTGGATTTCCACTCTGAAAGTACTTAATAGTGTAGTCTTCCTGAACTAAATATTTCACGATGGTATTCCAGTTATTTCTAAGTGTTGTCCCTGTTCTCTCACCCTTAAGGAAATACATAATAAAATTATTTTACAGGGAGCATTAAACTTGCACAGTCAAGAAGAATTATATAACTTCTTTCTGAAGAAACCCATTGTCCCTTTGGATATCCAGAAAAGAATAATCATCGTGTTCCATTGTGAATTCTCCTCTGAGAGGGGTCCCCGAATGTGAGTGTCTACACGAGGAGGGGGCGTGGAGAGGGTGATGGATCTTGAGTTTGGACTTACAGTCAAGGAACCTTCCCAGCCCAGTTTAGACAGAAACTGAATGAATGAATGATTTCCACTATAGTTTAAAGAATGTTAAGGAGGTGGAAAGAAGAGTTTCTACAATTCAAAGGTTTGAAGTAGTGAAGGAAAAAGGATTTGGAGTTAGGTACCAATGGAGGAAAGGAGAGAGGTGCTACTTGCACCTTGTTTTGCAAAAATAAGATCTGGAGCTCCTTTTGAGGGTTAGCAAAAGTCTCTTCTTCCTCCCCTTCCCCAGTGAATGACCCATGGAATCCTGAACTTGCTTTTTCCCATCCCACCCATCTGGATTTTCTCTAAAGGTGCCGTTCTCTGAGAGAAGAGGACAGGGCTCTGAACCAGTATCCTGCACTGTACTACCCAGAGCTGTACATCCTCAAAGGGGGCTACAGAGACTTCTTTCCAGAATATATGGTAAATCTTGCATGGGGCATGTGGGGCAATGGGGGAACCCAGACTTGGGGCCAACTTTAACATGCAGCTCCCAGGGCCTGCAAAGCCCTCTGAGAAGAAAGTGCTGTTCCTTCTAAGCCATTCCCTGCAGCATCTCTGTTATACCTCGTGGGCAGACTGTAGGCATCAGGAGGATTCCTTACTCTGTCCCTTGCCTTTCAGGAGCTGTGTGAACCACAGAGCTACTGCCCGATGCATCACCAGGACCATAAGGCTGAGCTGCTGAGGTGTCGAAACCAGAACAAAGCATGGGAAGGAGGGCGACAGCTGCAGGAACAGATTGCCTTACTGGTGAAGGATGTGAGCCCATGATATCAGGTCACCTACTGGCTGCCTGGGACTCACCAAAAGGCACTGTAGAAACCCTGAGCAGAAAGAGGCCATCTTCTGTGCAGCCTTTTTTCATTCTAAGATGTTAAAAGATGTCAGTAAACCAACAGGCTGCCAAACTAAAGAAATCCCAGGCGTGGGGATTGATTACATTTTAGTAGAGCTGTTGGCTAGTAAGGAAGTCCTTGAGCTAGTTCTCTAAGGTTGGAGCCTTGGGTTGCATGGAGATTTATGTTGCTTCAGGGGGCTATTGCATTCCTCTTCCTAACTACTCTCGTCTTCTCAGAGGTCAGCCAGATCTTTCTCCTGGGCTTCTGGCTATGCAAGAGAGAGTTGAGAGAGTTGTCCATCTTCTTTCTCTGTATTTTCCTTGTTTGTCTCCCTCTCTCTTCTTTTTTTAAAAATGGAAATATAAACATTGATGAATGAGAAAAACTCCTAGAAGATGTATATAAGGAAGTAATCACCACATTTAAATTCCTTCAGACAAAGATGTAGCCATCTCAATTCATAGCTGAGGCCAAAGTGCTTTTCTCCAGACCATGGTTCTCAAAGTTTGGGCCCTGGTCCATCAGCATTATCTGAACTTTGCTTGAAATGCAGGTTTTCAGAGCCCACTCCAGACCTACTAAATCAGAATGTCTGAGGTTAGGGCCCAGAAATCTGGGTTTTAAAAATCTCCCATTCAGGTGATGGTGATGCATGTCAAGGCTTGAGAACTACAGCTCTGGAATTAAAGAAAACCTTTTAAATGGAATTCTTCAGCAGTGTTCCAGACTTTCCTTTCCTACACCATTCCATGGTATGAATTGCCTAAAAGTGTGCCCCAGACTCAATTCTTTGTGGTATCAAGACTAAGAAAAGCAAAATAATTGCCATTCTGTAAGACCAAGTGATAGGTCTGAGTTGTATTCCAAAGGTTCCTTATCTTCAGCCTCAATAGAATTAAAAAAATATTTATTTATTTATTTTTGGCTTCACTGGAACTTTGCTGCTGCTCGGGCTTTCTTCTAGTTGCAGACAGTGGGGGCATTGTGTGGAGGGGGCTACTCTCTAGTTGTGGTGCTTCTCATTGCAGTGGCTTCTCATTGGAGAGTACAGAGTCAGTATTTGTGGTGCATAGGCCCAGTTGCCCTGTAGCATGTGGAGTCTCCCGGACCAGGGACTGAAACTGTCCCCTGCACTGGCAGGCAGATTCTCAACCACTGGACCACCAGGAAAGTCTGCATCAGTTTTGACTTTTCCCATTTTCCAAAGTTTTTTTTCCACTCCACTTCATGTTTCACAGAGACAGATTTAGGATGGTTGGAAGTAGAGATCTGTGCCATATGAAGATAAGAATGAAAGAAAAGGAAAGCACCAAGCAAGATCAGTTAGACTTCAGAAAGATATTTAATTTAATTAATCAATTAAAAAAATTTGTCCATCTGGCATGTGATATCTTAGTTCTCCAACCAGGGATTGAACTTGCATTCACAGAAAGATATTTTAAGTTACATTCTTCAGCATTACCCCAGGCTTTCCTTTTTTAGAGCTCTTTAAGGTGAGTAGGTTTTTGTCTGTGTAGTAAGGTACAGCCCTACTTGGCCTGGATGGCAGTGGAATTGCATTGTCATTCTGTGGCATTAACCTGGTAAGTAGTCATAGCTCAGGACTAGAAATGGACAAAAGGCTGTGAAGCCTAGCCTGAGATAGAATGGAGACCAAAATGACACCTTCCCAGATCTGGATGGAGCAGGGAGACTTTTTAAAAAGTGAGTGGGAGGGAAGAGTGTGCCCGAGTGACTGAATTGATTTTTGCAAGGTTCAAGAACGCTCTTCTCCCAGAGTGCTGCATGCTTGCCTCACAGCAGAGGGCACTGCTGTATTCTCTAAGGCAGCTGCTGCAGCCTGCAGTCTCCACTCCTAGCTTGAACCTGCCTGTCCTGAGCCCTTGAGTTCAGAGCTCAGAAGGGCTGGGGAAAAATGGAGAGAAGAGCTGCTGCTTCAATAGGTGGAGACAGCTGAGGGAAAGATGCTGTTCTTTTGTCCCACTCCACACACTTCCTCACAACAGGTAGGAGCTTAGCTGCCTGAGCAGGAAACTGCTTGAAGCACCTCCACTTCCAAATGTGAGGATGGGTCCCTGACCACTGCCTACCCTAGTGAGTCATTTCCTGTAATTCTTTCCAGAAAGGGAGAGCAAACCCCTACCTGGGAAAAGACTGGTGCACAAGTATTCACATCTCAGTGATCCTAAATGGAAGTTCCAAGTTGTAAAACATAAAACTATGGCTTAATCAGCTATCTACTTTGTGGAAAATTATATTTGCCTAAAAGGCTACATTTTCCCATATAGTTTCTTGTAATATCTTCCCACTGTATAGGTACCATGTCACGTGATTCATGTTATTTTTCAGGAACAATAATAATAGTAGCTAACAACCTTTCAGCTGTTTACTGCTTGCAAGTAAACATTTACTCATTTTATATAAATAAACTAATTTTCACAACAATCCTGTGAGGCAAGTAACTATTATACATGTATACATTTATCCCAATAAAGAAATTGAGGAACAGAGAGACTGAGTAACTTGTTTAAAGTCCCACAGCTAATGAATGGCAGAGTTGGGATATGAACCCAGGCAGTATGGCTCCAGAGTCTATAATGCTAATGGATTTTGCTGTTACCAAATCCTCATTGATGGAACGATGTGTCTTTCTAAATTGGCATTGTATTAGGTGTTAAATATGTAAGTGCCTCAGTTATAGGTTCTTGAGAAGTCAGGGCCAGAGGGTTGCTTCAGCTTGGGAACTGAAGCTAAGGGCAGATACTAAGACCCCAATCCAGAAATCTTTGCATGAGGCTATGAAGGGGTTAGCTCTGTGCTGGTGTCCTTGTACTGACTGGTATTCATTCAGCAGGAAGTCAGGTGATAAAGAATGGAAACCTTTTGGTCTGAAAACACTTTGGTTGCAACCTCAGCCCCAGTACCTAGCTGACCTCTGCTACAGAGAAGGAAGCATTTCCCTTTCCTTACCAGCCATATATAAAGTGAGAGGCATGGAGGATCTTCTTTCCCCATTCAGTTCAGACAAATGTGAGGGACTCGTTAGTTTCTTTCAAGGGATGTCAATTCTAAGTACCACAAGCATTCAAATATGTCACAGTTCCTGCCCTCAAGGTAGAAATGACTCTCTTTGCTTCCATCCCTACAAGCACTCTGGCCCACTACCATATTCAGCAAAAGGAAGAAGATCTAGCCTCCAGCTCCAAAACTGTAGGTTGACAGGTAGGGGCTGGCTGAGTTCATAGAATAATTAACTTCTGCGTGCCTCCTGCAGTGGTATCATTCCGTGTGTGCTATGTGCCTAGCACAAAGCTAAACCCTTTACTCACTGTATACTTGTTTAATCCTCAAAACTGTTATACAAAGTAAATACTGCTATTAATTTTTCAGATGAAGAAACTGAAGCACAGAAAAATTAAGTGATATGCCCGAGGTCACCCAGCATGTGTTGATAATGTCAATTGAAACCAGGTAGTCTGTAAAACTTGTTCTCTTGACTGTTTTTCACTGAACTGCTAACACCCTGGGTTAGCTAAGGATAGCAGCAGGAGTTAAAGCCCAACAGTGAGAGAGGGCTTGATAGAAGGCAGGAAACCAAGGTTACAAATGAAAGTGGAGTAAGATACAGAGTCTTTAGACCTTTGAGCCCCAATCAGTGGCTTGCAAAGCCCTCCCAGGGCAGTTCGTGTCTTAATCATTTTTGCACCTGGCACAAAGCTGGGCTCATAATCAGCCTCAAAAGACATTATTGAATTGAATGATGGTTGAGTAACATCTTTGTAGAAAGGATTGGCTCATTTGTCATTATCCACAAGGTTCCCAACAGCAATGCTGCTTATCTAGCAGGTGTTGGCAGCCGCAAAGGACATGGTTGGTGGGGAGAGAGTGTGCTGGAGGAGCTGTCAATATTAGTCTTGGAGTCATATTTATTTGCAGAGGCTTCCTCAACCCTCCACTAGCCTTGGTTACCAATCCTCATTAAAGGCCCGATGATGTCAAGCTCTTTACCACAGTGCCCAGACAGAATTATGCTCCAAGCATCTCATTTACTCTCAAACAGAGCCTGGTCTTTTATGGGTGGCTTTGGATATTGCTTTCAGTCCATCAAGTTGACCTTGTTCCTTTTGCTTTCCTGGTTCCTTTTGTGGGGAGAGCACTGAGTAGACCCACTGAGTAGGCACCCTGAGCAAATGCCTTTTCTAAGCCTACCCTCCTATCCCAAACTGATATGCCTTGGTTGCTGAAGGAGAGAGCAGAGGTGATACCCCTTGATCACCTCCCACATCTTTGTTGATTCATAGCACCCTTTCCTAGCATCCCAATCACCTGATGTTACATTTTGCCTTGTAAATCCCACTTTGGAACTCTTGCCAGAGTGAAGCAGAGAGTGGGGGCTATCAGCTCCCCAGCCACAAGTTTCCTAATCTTACTGGAGGGAAGGACTTGGGAAAGGTACAAAGAGGTAGGGTGGGACTGGTGGGGGTTGGGGGGAATAGGCCCTGTATAAAAGCTGAGTAGCCAGATGTTCACTTTCACAGCTCTCCTGTAAGACTGGCAGGGCAGATATAGATTAAAATGAAGCACAAACTCCATTTAAAGTGCATTACAGCCCAGGAATCATCTCCCCTTGGGCAGGAGAAGGGAGGAAAGGGCACAGGAGGCCACATAAGTCTCTTTCCTTATCTAGCACCACATGTCTCTCTCCTAGCTTTGTGAAGGGTGATTTACACCCCGGCTGGAATGACTCTCTTTCTGAGCTGATTACATTGGCAAATGCCCCCCAGAGGCCACAGCAGGATGGCCGTATTCAGAAGGAGCAGCCAATAAATCTCAGAGGTCTATATTGCACTTCTCAGTACCCTCCCTCCTGGCCCTCTGCCAGGTGGGCTGTGGAAGTAGAAGAGGGCTTGGCTGGAAGATCGGGGGAGGACACTCTTCAATACCTTTCATTACTATCTTCCCTAAGTACTGTTTAGTTGTCATTCTTATAAGACATTCTGCCTCTGTCTTTATCCAGGGAGCAGATGGGAACCAGCACAGTAAATTGATCTAATAAATAACCCTTATCTTTATGGGTAGAAGTCCTGGATTTCTCCTAGGTATTTGCTCTTGGTAGAGTGGCTTGCTCTCCTAACCCTCCTCTGAAAATGAGGAGGCTCCTAAATGGTCTCTCCAAACACCTTTCTCAGTGATCTTTCGTCTAGGGAAATCTCTGCAGTTTAGCCTGAGGGAGGTTTGATCCTTCCATCCTTCCTCGTGACACTGAAGGGGCTGAAGTTTGGAGGAGTGTAGTCTGGCAAAGGTCCTGGGATCTTGCCCCAAGTCTTTCCCCAGCAAGGTCATTTCACCTGTCTGCAGAATCTTGGGGTTAATAATACAACGGAATCTCACCCCTGAAGATACTGATGCGGGGAAATGATATCAGAGAAGTGCAAATTCTAAGGGGGTGGGGGAGCCTTGAAATGCAAGTGCCCTCGTGCGTTTGTTACAAGATCTTATTTGGGGTGGTTGTTTCTTGGTGGTAGAGCGGATTCCGGAAAGTGAGATAGGATTCTTTTTAAAAAAACAAATATTTGGACCCCCAGGACGACGAGTTTCCAGTGGCAGCTCCCACAATGACTCGGCTGCTCCGGGGCGTACCCTGGATAGCCCCCACCCCCGCCGCCCTCTGGGTCTAGTAGGAGAGGCTGCGTGAAGCGTCCATCGGCTTTGGAGTTGGAGGGCGGCGCCCGGGACCCTGGTGGGAGAGTGTCGGCGCCGTGGCGCTCCCTGCGAGGAGGGGCGGGAGAAGTGGTGGGAGGTGCCGGTGGAGGAGCCCGGCTCACAGAGCTCCTGTGCTAGGAGAGAGGGTAACGCCGAGTCGGGTGCAGGCAAAGCACCCGACGTCGACAGCCAGCGCGCGCGCACCCCACCATGGCGCGCCCGCGGAATCTGCGACCTTTGCCGCCTGTGCTCCTGCTCCTGCTGCCGCTGCTGTTGCTCCGAGCTGGTGAGTGTCGTTGGAGCCGCCCCGGCTGGGGAGCAAGGGGATGGGGCTGGTGGTTACCGTGTAAGTGGGGTGCCGGCACCAGAGCCCGGAGAGGTCTCAGACCCCACACTGCTCCCTGGTGCCGGGCGTCCGTCCGTCCGAGCCTGGAGAACTGGAGGAGGAGGCCTAGGGTGTCAGGAAGGGGCTGGGTTCTATGCCTAGTCCAAGTGTCTGAACTTGTAGATTGAGTGTCAACCGTGGCCAGGGCACCCAGGCATCTCCTCGCCGTCGGTTCCCCCTCTTTCCTCTTTTGAGGTGCTCCTATAAATTCACAGAACAACCCGCAGCCAGGCCACTACCAAGACAGCATCTCTAGGAGGCGGGGAGAATCAGAAGCAGGACGCCTTTTGCTCCACATGGGCTTTACCACTTCCACCCCGTGTAAAGACTGGGAAAGTGGCCACTAGGTACAGATGACAATATTGAAGTTTTTGTTAGAACTAACTTGTCACTGGGAACTCCCTGGTGGTCCAGTGGTTAGGACTCTGCACTTTCACATACACACACAAAAATTGACTTGTCACAAATTAGTGTTGAAAACTGCTGCCCGGAATTCGCCAACACCATTACTGAGTGGTTGAGAATATTGCTCACCACCAACAAACCCCCTCTTCAGGATGTACTTTATTATTATTTTAATTGGAGCAGAAAACTCACTATTGGGTAAGATGGCCTTTCTGTATAGGCTGCCCAGCACAGTGCCTTGCCCTGTTATAGATCCACAATAAGTGTTTTATGCAGTATATGATGCAAGGCCTGGTTTTAGAACTATGCCATTCCTCTAAGGAGCATGCATGTGGCCTCTGGGAGAGGGATGGGTGCATGGAATCTCACTGTGGGGCTCCTGTCCAGAGCCTGGCTGGAGGAACACATGAGGCAGAGACAAGGTACTTATCTGCACACGACCTCCTCCACAAAGTAGGACTGCAGAAGTACAATCTTGGCTGAGAGACAGATATGGAAGGAAGGAGGGAAAGTACTGACCTGTTCGGACTGATTTTGTCAGTAAATCAGAGCAGCAAGACATCACTGATCTGATTGAGCTGCCCAGGAAATTTCACTACCCTAACAGTATGGCTGTATGTCAGGATTCGGGTAAATTTTTAACATCTTCATCATGACCAATTTAGTGGAACAAGTTACCCTGTGTTAGTGATGAAATTTAACATGACCCCTACCTTTCTTTTGTGGAGCTGCAATGCCCCCAGATCTACCACTGCTCAGACTTGGTGAACTGTATCAGCTAAGAAATTAGGTTTACTTTTGAAAATTGTTATGATTCAATATTTAATATTTAGTCCAGTTGAAGCAACAAGACTTGAACCTGCTACATTTCTTTCAGCAAGCACTTTCTGGGTACCTATTAGAAGTAACATCTTAAACATGCAGCACTTCTCAAACTGTTTAAATCCATGTCCCTTTTTTGATAAAGATAAAAATCTTATGTTTTCCTTAAATTTTGAAATTTCAAAAGTCCTTTTGTTCATCTTTCACATATAAAATTGTTATCTATGCTTTTTTGATTTTGTTTGTTATCATTGTTGTTTCAGCCATGCCATGATCCTAGTTCATGTTTTGGCCCTGCAAGATCCTAGTTCCTTGACTAGGGATTGAACCAGGGCCATCAGCAGTGAGGGCACAAAGTTCTAACCACTGAACTACAGGGAATTCCTGTCAAGCATGCCTTTTTGAACCACAGGTTCTCTTTGGAAATTCTGATATGTCCCTAAAAGGGTCCCATCCTCTCTCTTTCTTATCCCCTGAATTGAGGAATTCTGGTTTAGTCCAATCCCCCTTTTAAAGATCAAAATTATGGACTTCCATGGTGGTCCAGTGGCTGAGACTCCATGCTACAAATGGAGGGAGACTGAGTTTGATCCCTGGTTAGGTAACTAGATCCCACATGCTGCAGCTATAATCGTGCATGCAGCAGCAAACATTGGAAGATTCCATGAGCTGCAACTAAGATCCGATACAGCTAAATAAATAAATAAATTTTTTTAAGTCAAAATTAAGGACTTCCCTGGTGGTGCAGTGGATAAGAATCTGCGTGCCACTGCACGTGACATGGGTTTGATCCTTTGGGAAGATTCCACATGCCACAGAGCAACTAAACCCGTGAGCTACAACTACTGAAGCCTGCACACTCTAGGACCCTCAAGCCACAACTAATAAGCCCCTGTGCCACAACTACTGAAGCCACATGCCCTAGCACCAACAAGTCGCAACTACTGCACCTGCATGCTGCAACTACTGAAGCCTGTGCACCTAGAGCCTGTGCTCTGCAACAAGAGAAGCCACCACAATAAGCCAACACACTGCAACAAGAGAGTAACCCCCATCTCTGCAACTAGAGACAGCCCGCATGCAAAAACGAAGACCCAGCACAGCCAAAAATAAGTAAATAAATAATGACTAAATAAATATAGCAGTGTGTACATGTCTGTGTACATGTACACATGTACATGTGTACATATAAAAATAAATGCCAAAAAAATCCACAATGAACAAAATACCAAAATTTTAAAGCAAAAGTAACAATGTCATGTCGAGGCATATTAGAACCTGAAGCAAAAGGAAAAATCAGTACTGCTCACCCTGCCCTTTTTTACACATTGGATATGGCATCAATTGTCAAACTTTAAGGGGCATCATTCTGTCTAGTGAATTTGCTAAAATTCAGATTCCCAGGCATTATCACCAGAGATTCTCGTTTGGTAGTTGGAGCTAGGGCTCAGAAATGTGCATTCTAATAAGTAATCTGATTATTATATGATTGGAAGAGAATGTTGGACTAACTAAACTTGGAGGCCCCTCCTAATTTTGGGACTCTATTAAGTAGAGAGAAGGTGCTCAGAGAAGTTATTGGGGTGGCTCATAAAATATCTGTTATCTGGTTATTTTTTAAATATTAGTGGGAGCTTACAAAGAACAAGCACTGTTCTAAACACTGGTAACAGAGTAGTGATAAGATAGACATGGCGATCTAGCTGGGAAGAAAATTTAAAAATGAAGTAAAAATATATCAAATGGTGATAAGTACTATGCAGAGAATTGGAATAACAGTATGTTAGAGTAGCTGGGGGGCTATTTTACTTTGGTTGGTTGGGGATAGAATTTGTGAGATGCCACTGAATGACCCAAGGGTGCAGTCATGTGAAGATCAGGTGAAAGAGCATGCCAAACAGAAAGGTTAGGTGGACACAAGCTTGTTTTGTTTAATGGCAACCAGAAAGAAGGTCGGTGCAGATGTAGGAAAGTGGGAGAGGAAGAGAGAGCTAGGAGGTAAGGTTAGAGAGTTGGGCAGGGCCAGATCTCTACAAGGCTTTGTAAACCAGGGTTCATAAACTAGATCTTAACCTAAGTGCAATGGAAGCTGGTGGAAGGATTTAAGCAGAGAAATGAGATGATCTGATATACAGTTTCTAAGTTCACTTCAGTTCAATCACTCAGTCGTGTCTGACTCTTTGCGACCTCATGGACTACATGAGAGACTTCCCTGTCCATCACCAACTCCTGGAGTTTGCTCAAACTCATGTCCATCCAGTTGGTGATGTCATCCAACCAGTTCATCCTCTGTCATCCCCTTCTTCTCCTGCCTTCAATCTTGCTCAGCATCAGGGTCTTTTCCAATGTCGGTTCTTCTCATCAGGTGGCCAAGGTATTGGAGTTTCAGCTTCAGCATCAGTCCTTCCAATGAATATTCAGGACTGATTTCCTTTATGATTGGTTGGTTTGATCTGCTTGAAGTCCAAGGGACTCCCAAGAGTCTTCTCCAACACCACAGTTCAAAAGCATCCATTCTTTGGCATTTAACTTTCTTTATGGCCCAATTCTCACATCCATACATGACTACTGGAAAAAACATAGCTTTGACTAGATGGACCTTTGTTGGCAATGTAATGTCTGCTTTTTAGTATGTTTTCTGGGTTGATCAGAGCTTTTCTTCCAAGGATCAAGCATCTTTTAATTATCATGGCTGCAATCACCATCTGCAGTGATTTTGGAGCCCAAGAAAATAAAGTCTCTCACTGTTTCCATCATTTCCCCATCTATTTGCCATGAAGTGATGGGACCAGATGCCATGATCTTCGTTTTTTGAATGTTGAGTTTTCAGCCAACTTTTTCATTCTCCTTTTTCACTTTCATCAAGAGGCTCTTTACTTCTTTGCTTTCTGCCATAAGGGTGGTGTTATCTGCATATCTGAGGTTATTGATATTTCTCCCGGCAATCTTGATTCCAGCTTGTGCTTCATCCAGCCCGGCATTTCGCATGATGTACTCTGCATATAAGTTAAATAAGCAGGGTGACAATATGCAGCCTTGACATACTCCTTTCCCAATTTGGAACCAGTCTGTTGCTCCATGTCTGGTTCTAACTGTTGCTTCTTCACCTGCATACAGATTTCTCAGGAGGCAGGTAAGGTGGTTTGGTATCCCATCTCTTAAAAGAATTTTCCACAGTTTGTTGTGATCCACACAGTCAAAGGCTTTATCATAGTCAATAAAGCATAAGTAGATGTTTTTCTGGAACTCTTTTGCTTTTTCTGTGTTCCAGCAGATGTTGGCCATTTGATCTCTATTTCCTCTGTCTTTTCTAAATCCAGCTTGAACATCTGAAGTTCTCAGTTCACATACTGTTGAAGCCTAGCTTGGGGAATTTTGAGCATTACTTTGCTAGCATGTGAGATGAATGCAACTGTCTGGTAGTTTGAACATTCTTTGGCACTACCTTTCTTTGGGATTGGAATGAAAACTGACCTTTTCTGGTCCTGTGGCCACTGCTGACTTTTCCAAATTTGCTGGCATATTGAGTGCAGCACTTTCACAGCATCATCTTTTACGATGTGAAATAGCTCAACTGGAATTCCATCACCTCCACTAGCTTTGTTTGTGGTGATGCTTCCTAAGGCCCACTTGACTTCACATTCCAGGATGTTTTGCCAAGAAAACAGTTAAGAAATGATCCCATATAATGCCAGTCAGCATTAAAATTATGTTATATTCACACAATGGAATGCTATATAGCAATGAAAGTAAGCTATTTGCCACTATACTTAACTGTGTGGGTGAATTTCAGAAACTTAATATTGAACAAAAGAAGCCAAGACACCAAAAACAAACATGTGATTGAAAAACAGGCAAAACAAATTATTAATGTTAGAAATCAAGATGTTATATTTGCTTTGTTAGGAAGATGGTGACTGGCAGATGGCTTCTGGCATGCTAGTAATGTTCTGATTCTTTATCTGGGGATCTGGTTATACAGGTATATATAATTAGAAATTCATTAAGCTATACATTTTTTGATTTATGTATTTTTCTACATTATACTTTATTAGCAAACATGATATACAAATAACTAACAAAAACATGAAAATATGCTCAATATCATTACTTATTAGGGAAATGAAAGTGAAAACCACAATGAGATACTAGCTTATACCCACAAGGATGGCTGTAAAAACAGAACAAAAACCAGAAAACATGAGTTAATAAGTATGTAGAGAAATTGGAACCACCCTCATGCATTGCTAGTAGGAATGTAAAATGATACCAGCTCCTGTGGAAAACAATCTGGTGGCTCATCAGAAAGTTAAACATAGAATTATCATGTGATCCAGCAATTCCTCTTCTAGAGAAATACCCAAGAAAAATGAATACAGGTGTTCAAGCAAATACTTGTGCATAAATGTTTACATAGCACCATTCACAGTAACCTGAGGATGGGTTACCCAAGTGTCCATCAGCTAATGTTTACATAAATAAAACAAATTATGGTATCCATACAATAAAATATTATTCTTAAGAAAGAGTGAAACACTGATATATACCACAATGTGGGTGAACTTCAAAAAAAATATGTTAGAAGAAAGAAGCTAGATACAAAAGTACATATTGTATGGTTCCATTTACATGAAACATTTAGGATAGGTAAATGTGCAGAGACAGCTGACTACTGGGGAAGTGAGAATGGAGAGTGACTTTAATGGGTATGAGCTTCCAGTTGGGGTGATGAAAATGAATGGGATTTAGAAATGATGCTTGTACAACACTGAATATACTAAATGTGATTTACTTGTGCCCTTTAAGATGATTGATTTTATGTTGCATGATTTTTTCTCTCTTTTTTTAAAATAGTTTGCATCTTTTGACTACCTTCATCCAGTTCTTCTTTCCCACCCTCTGCCTCTGGTAGCTGCAAATCTGATTTCTTTTCCTATGAGATTGTTTGTTTGTTTTTGAAGTATAATTGACCTACAGTGCTATGTTCCTGGTGAACAATATAGTGATTTGCTATTTCTATACATCTCAGAATGATCACCAGATATGAATTTTACTTCAATAAAAATGTTTCACAACCTAAAACAATTTGTTTTAAAAAATGGATGCAACAACAAAAAATGGTAATTATGTGAAGTGAAAGATTTGTAAACCAATTGTGGTAACATTTTACAGTATATACATGTATCAAATGATCATGTACACCTAAAACTTAAAAAATGTTGTATGTCAATCGTATCTCAGTAAAGCTGGAAAACAAAAAAGATGGCTGAATGGTAAGGAAGATGGAATCATAGAGACCAATAAGGACTCTCAACTAGTTCAGACAGGAAATGATGGTGGCTTGAGCTAAGGAAGTAGTGAGAGATGTGGAGAGAAGTGGACAGGTTCCAGATATGCAGTGGAATTGACAGGACTTGCTGGATTGAACATAGGATGTGAAGGAAAGAGAAGAATTCAGAATGACTCCTAGATGTCCTGCCTTGAAAAACTGGGGGATAATGGTGTGTTGTTACCACTTGATAGGGACCCTAAGGCCTAGAGTGCAGGGCCTTTCTCCAGGGCTAACCTATAACTAACCATGATATTCTTGAGTAAGTAACAGAATCAGTAAAAACTACCCCAATCCCAGCTGCTGCTGCTGCTAAGTCGCTTCAGTCGTGTCAGACACTGTGCAACCCCATAGACAGCAGCCCACCAGGCTCCCCAGTCCCTGGAATTCTCCAGGCAAGAGCACTGGAGTTGGTTGCCATTTCCTTCTCCAATGCCTGAAAGTGAAAAGTGAAAGAGAAGTCGCTCAGTCGTGTCTGACTCTTAGTGACCCCATGGACTGCAGTAATCCCAGCAAGTTCCCAGTATAAGGGTTTTTATTATATATATTTTTAAGTTTTTAATTTTGTTTACACCATGTTACTCTTAAGTGACTTTTTGTTTTTGGCTGTGCTGTGAGGTTTGCAGGATCTTAGTTCCCTGACCAGGGATTGGACCTGGGCCCCAGCAATGAAAACGCTGAGTCCTGACCACTGAACTCCCAGGGAATTCCCTTAAGTGACTTTTAATGGAAGACTGAGAGTTGTTGCTAACTGTCATTTTTTTTTTTTTTTTTGCTAACTGTCATTTAGCACTCCCATGCACATTCTCAACTCTCTGGTTATGATGCTAGCCCTGTTCATGGCATAACTCTGCTCAGGGCCCTCTTCCCAGTGCCTGGCAGGGTCATCAGGCTCAGCCTCAAACAGTTGTTCTCCTTCCCTTCCCAGGAGGCTGAGCAGCCTTTTTTCTTTCTTTTTTTTTTCTGAGCAGCTTTCTTTATCAAACCCCTGCCCTTTCTCAAGCCTGATCTCTTCTGTCCAGATTATGACCACGGCAGACCCTCCTACTGGACTTCTTGATCCCCGCTAAAGGCCTCTGTGCTACCCCAAGACTTTCCTGCTAAAGATTTCATCCAAAATCCCCCCACCCTACCTTATGACTTGGTTTTCTCAGACAGCTATTCTGACCTTATGTGAGCCTCTCTTGACCTCTCTCCCTCCATAGGGGACCACCTCCCCACAGAAGGCCGACTCACAAACAGCTGTATCCAGGCCAGGAGGAAGTGCCAGGCCAATCCCACTTGCAATGCTACCTACCACTACCTGAATTCCTGTGCCTCGAGTATAAGCACCTCATCACCTGTAGAGGAGCCTTTGGTCCCTGAGGACTGCATGGAGGCAGCACAGCAACTCAGGAATAGCTCTCTGATGAGCTGTACATGCCATCGGCGCATGAAGAACCAAGCTACCTGCCTGGACATCTACTGGACCATTCATCCTGCCCGCAGCCTTGGTGAGGCCCCCATCCTAGAGTGGGTTAAGCTAGGGAAGATGGCTTTTGGGAGTTGATTTTTAATCCTGTTGAATATGGGCCACATGGTAGATTCTGACAGAGATGATAATGAAGCTTTGCATTGGACATCAGTGAGAAATGCAAGGAGCAATTGGTTGTATCCTTTTGGGTCCCAGAATACTGCCCTCCCTTCCCACTACTTCCCCCTTTCTTTTACCTGGAAACGTGTGGCTGCCTCTTGGAAGATCTCTGAACCAACTGAGGCTCAACATGGGGAGCTTCTGGAACAGATGGATATGGAGAGGAAGTGGAGGGAAATGGTCTTAACCCATAAATATAACATACAAATACAAGATAATCCATAGGTTCAGAGAGACTGGGAGGCTGTGTCCTGGTGCAGCCTTTAACAGAGAGGATACTCACTAATCAGACAAGAGATGGTAAAAGTCAGAGGGCACTGGAAGACCAAAGAGGAGCTTCCTTTGACTCTAGAAATCCCTTTTTATATAGTCAATTTTACTGGACTACACTGCAATAATGAAATAGGGTCTTCTAAAGCAAAGGTTAAGTTCTTACTCAGGTTCTGTCTTGGCTGTGTCATGTGTCCTCTTCATTCTGGGATCCAGTTCAGCCTCTACCTGGGATGTTCCTTTCTGATGGCAGAGGGAAATGAGCATTGGCAGAATCATTTGATGCCTTTAAAAGTTTCTACTCAGACATTACATGAAACGATTCTGCTCACATTCCATTGACAAGCAGATCACATGGTCAAACCTGATGTCCTCCCCCAGGGGACACTAAAAATCACATGGCAATAAATGAGGATGTGTAGTCTTTACAGGAAGGGTAAAAATAAGTAGAAACAGTAATGCAATCTACTGTAGTACATCACTTGGTCAAAACATTCATTTCCCTTCCTTCCACAAACAAAATATATCTACTCACTGTCTAAGGAAGGTGTCTAAGTATTCTATTAAGCAGAACATCAGATTCCAAGATCCCTGACTTGGATATTATCTTGTGACAATTTCTGTATAAGGTCTGAATATGTGGTTCGTCTTAATCTAGAAACCTATAAACTAAAAAGTCATCTGCTTCCCATATATACTCAATACATAGTAAGGGAACAGGGACAGGAGAAGCACAACAAACTCAGAAAGAGGAATAATGGGAAGCACACAGGAGACATTGATTCATAGTAATTCTGAAGTCCTGCCACACAACTGATGCAAGGGCTGTCTTCTCTGGGAATAGGAATTGCTCTTTAATAAGGCCCTGCTTTTGCTCACTGGGGAGCAAAAGCCCAGGAGTTTCTCAGCCCTCTGGGAGTTCCTTTCTTGTCCATTATTTTCTTGGGCTACATCTGAAAAGGGCATTGAAGACTATGACCTCCTTAGGGACTGAATAGCACTCTCTGCTTGCTTCTTACTTGAGGAATGTTGGAGCATCTTAAGTCTCAAATAGTCAGAGTCTCTTTTAATCCAGGCTGGTAGCTCTTTGCAGTACAACTCTGTCAATACATAATTGTGTTTTATATCTTTTGATTTCTGTCACCTCGTGTGCCAGTAGCTGTTCCTATAATCCTTTTCAAGACATACATCTCTTTCCAGGCCTAATTAGAGGTACCTTGCCCTTATCAAACTTCTGTGCCTGAGCCACTATCTCAGTCTTTTTACCCTGAGCATATTTGTCCAACTGGCAGGATTTATTGGATATTGTCTTAATTGATGAGAGATCTCCACAAAGGGCATGATAGCCACGAACTTGAATTTGTCTTTGCCTCAAGGCTGAGTTGTAGTTGAGCTTATTACTTAAAGCATTTTTCAGTTTTATCTTTTACCATTAGAATATGAGAAGCAGTTGCATTTCTTAATCCTGCAAGTCCTAGAATTTCTGTATTGTTTCTTCTCTGTTTTTTCCTTATTGGTATACTGGTCAGTTCTCTAAGCTTATGTCTTTCTTGTGGTACCTTGCCAAACATAGCCATGAGCATTCACGACATACTAGTAATCTTCCTTTTCTTAGCTTCTTCCTCTTAAAGCACAAGCTCACTCGGTACCTCATCTCCCTTCCAGGTTATTGCAGGCAACAATTTTACCAAACACTGTGCCACTGCATAATGAGAGCTGCCAGCCCCCAATAACAGCTTATTCACTGCCCACTGCCCATTCCCAAAGCTAATACCGTTTATTTTAGATTTTTTTGTTACTTCAGTACTCCACTTCTAGATACCAATTAAATGTTTAATAGGAGTTTGCTAAATTATGCAACCAACTGCAAAATCCTTGGCTTTCACCAACAAAAATGTAACTTTTGTTCAAGTTACACACATCTGCCATGGGTTTCCACGAGTTGGCTTTGTTTTAGCTCCACCTGTCTTCTTCATTTGAGGATCCAGGATGGTAGGTGGAAAAGAACCACATCAGGACCATGTGATAGTTCTTAAAAATTCTTCTTAAAGGTGATTAAGTCTCTGCAGCTCACAATCCACAGACCAAGGTAAGTCACATGGCCAAGCCTTACAGTAGGGTGGGAAAGTACAGTACTCTCCTAGGGGGCCTAGAAGGCACATGGCAACAGGCAAGGATATACAATCATCTCCAGCAAGCAGTTGGAAACAGTAATACAATATACCACTTTCCTTGTTCCCTGACTTCCTCTCCCTAATCATCTCACTTCTAGGGCTTCACCTGAACCCTCTCCCTAAATCCTCTTGTCTTCCCCCTCTTTTACCTTGGGAGCTCCCAGGTCTCCCCAGGCATTCAAATCATCTTTTCTGATTTGCTTGATACTATCCATATCCCTTCTCTACTGAAGACATATTCACAGAATGTCCCTGCAAGCTCATCTCTGTCTTTAAACAATAGTTTTTAACCAGCATTTATTAAGCACCTTGTGTATGAGCTATGCAGTGATTTTTTTTTAAATTGAGATACAGTTGGTTAACAATGTTGTGTATGCAGTGATTTTATAAGATCCTGTACATCTCTTTCAGGAACCCATAGCCCCATGAGGGCATCTGAAAGAGATGTGTTTTCTTTGAAATCATTGTCTCTCCCTTCTCTGCTTTTCTCAGTCAGGTTCATTCTGGGCCTGGTCACGTTTCCATCACCTCAGTGTGTGATAAATCTCCATAGCCAAGTGGTCAGTCCCGGAACAGAGTTCACTATGGCCCCTTCTCCAATTGCAAGAGCAAACAGGACAGAATCCCTTTACTTGTTTACATACCCACAGGCAATATGTGTAGTAGTTAGGAGTGGAGACTCTGGAATCAGATAATCCAGATTTCAAATCCCAGCTCCACTTATTAGCTTATGTGAGCCTGAGCAAGTGAATTAAACCTCTTTTATCCTCAGTTTCTTTTTACCTACCCAAAGACTTCTATGAAGACTAAGTGAAATTATGTGTATATATATTATATATATATATAAATATCATATATATATATATATATATATATATATATATAATGCCATAGTGCCCAATATACAGTGTGCACAACAAACAGTAGCTTTTTTATTCTTACCATTAAACCCAGTTTATTCATCAAGCCTAGCCTGAACCTTTATGGCCCCATTTTTTTTCCTTTCCTTCACCCAGGATGCAGCTAGTTGGGTAGAGATTGTGCCTTTGCCTTTTCCCCAGGAGCTTCAGCCCCTCCTACTCTCATCCCCAGCCCAGTCCTCAGGATTCTGATGCATCCTACCTTGTCTCTAGGTGACTATGAGCTGGATGTCTCTCCCTATGAAGACACAGTGACTAGAAAACCCTGGAAAATGAATCTCAGCAAACTGAACATGCTCATACCAGGTGTGCAGGGCCAGCTGGGGCTGGGGTATGGGAGGGCCTGGACCCTGCGGGAAGAGTGGCTGGTGGGGAACACGGCTGGGGAATAAGAGGGGAGAGTTCTAGACTGCCAGGTGACTAAAGAAGCCCTGTCATGGTGAGAGTCTAAGCTATGGGACATGATCTAGTCTCACAAGTCAACAAAAAGCAATAGTTATTAAGGAGATAATCAAAGAGAGCCTGTTAGAGCTTCCAGCTTCCAAAGGGTGGATCTCAACAAAGGGTTAGAAGGGAGTGGCAGCAGTTCCAGGGGAAAAATGTGCTGAAATGGAGTATTTACCCTAATTCGAGGCAGCCAGGAAAGTAGCTTGTGGTCCCTGAAGACTAGGAAATTGCTTGTTTTCAACCATTCTAATGGGATGGGCGAGGTGTTGGGCAGGGAATAGTGAGAGAGAGTGTGACTCCTCAGGGGTGATTCAGGGTGGGGAGCCATCTGTCTGGCAAGGACTATGATGCATTTTTTCAAGAAAGTGAGGCTGTTGTGTTAATTGGAGAGGAAGACACACATGCACTCTCTTTTTGAAAGAGATGTGAGATTTGTTGTACAGTCAGTTCTTCATGTTAGAATTTTGAGAGAAAAGTATAGAAATTATTAGAAACTCTAGGTTACAAGGAATCTGGGAATAACCTATTCCAGTTACTCCATTGTTCTGACTGCTGAAATATTCTGTTAATAGAAATATCACCATGATTTCCCAAGACTCAGAGTATGGGTTTTTTTATGCCTGCATCAATCAAAGAAAGATGGACAGAATAGAGATACAGAACCAAAATCCTAAGTAGAATTCGGTTGCATCTGTTGTGGACAGTTCAGAAAGGATACTTTTCCACACCAGGAGGATTGTGGGATCCTAGTTCTCCCACCAAGGATGGAACCCCTCAAAAGTGAAAGACTGGCGTCCTAACTGCTGGACTTCCAGGGAATTTCCCAGAAAGTACTTTAGAACGTTGTAGGGCCTCTTGGTTACAGTTTCCACCATGGGATCTCACTCATTGCATAGGATTGTAAAAAGGATTTGGTTAGATGTATATGGGTTAAAACAAACAAACAAAAACCTAGGCAAGCAGAGGAGCAGGATGGGGGAGGCTCATGAATACCAATATTGTTTGAGGCTAGCGGGCAAGGCCTTTTTCAGGGCAGTCCTCCCTGACGGTAGTGCCCTCCCACTTCTGCCCTTGATACATCAGAGGCTGGGCTGCAGGTCTGTGAAGACTGCTGACTTGCTTCCCCTCTCCCCCCAGACTCAGACCTCTGCCTCAAGTTCGCCATGCTGTGCACTCTTAATGATAAGTGTGACCGGTTGCGCAAGGCGTACGGGGAGGCGTGCTCTGGGTCCCGCTGCCAGCGCCACACTTGCCAAAGGCAGCTGCGCGCCTTCTTCGAGAAGGCCTCAGAGCCTCACTCGCAGGGCCTGCTGCTGTGCCCGTGCGCGCCCACCGACCAGGGCTGCGGGCAGCGGCGGCGCAACACCATCGCCCCCAGCTGCGCGCTGCCTTCGGAGGACCCCAACTGCCTGGAGCTTCGGCACGTCTGCGTGTCCGACCCGCTGTGCAGGTGCGGCTGCTATGTGATGGGTGCTGGTGAACGGGGTGGGTGCCACTCCTTCCGGGCTTCTTCCTGGGCAGGGTTGAATCTAACCTAGCCCAGGGATCCTGGACTGACTTCACCACGTAGCTATTCTGGATACCTTCTGAAACTCTTTTCTAGGGGAAAATGTGAGTGTGTATGTGTACAGTGTAAAAACCTTAGAAAATATAAAAATGTCTTAAAATATCACCCCAAACCCGTCACCTGGAGTTAATCTAACATACTTTGGAGAGCATTTCCTTCCAATCTTTTTTCTCTACAGATAAACAAAATCAGACATTTTAAGGGTATATTCATCTTGCTTTTCTTCCACTTATGGTACCTATCTGGCGAGTATTTTCTGATGGAAGCAGTATGGAATAGAGATGAAGACAAGCTCTGAAGTCACACATATGTGAATTTAAATCCTTATCTGTGTGACCTTGCATCTATCACTTAACCTAAAACTCTGTCACTTAACCCAAGGTTCCACTTACTCCTCTGTAAAAACTGGGATAATAATTCAGACCTCTGGGGATTCTGGTGAGAGTTAAATTACGTAATTTATGTAGAGAGTTAGCTTACTGGTGCAGTTAAGTAAGCACTCAGTAAATGATGGTTCTTATTTTGTAATTTAATGTCATTTAACAACTTACTTTTTGACTGTGTACATTGTATTTCACTTTATAGATGCCCCATATTTTATTTAATAATTCCTCTATTTATAAATATTTAAGTTGTTTTCTTTACTGCTATAAATAATGCTGCAATAAATATTACTGTTATTCATTAATCTTTGTGCACAAATCTAATTATTGCTTAGGTTGTGTTGCTACAAATGTCATTACCAAATCAAAGAACATGAAGAATTGTAAGGTGTCTGATCAAAATTTAAGCAAAATTTTAATATGGTTTACCTTGACCTTCTCACGAAAACGTTCATCAGATTGAAGTTATCATCCTTTCAAGTGATATTTGTTGACAGTGAGAGTCACACCAACTTTGTATTGCAGCTTGGTTCTACCACTTAGTTCTCTGTAACCTTGGGCAAATCACCTCTCTTGAGTCCCACTTCCTCTTCTGTAAGATATTACATAGTAAAAGCTCTTAGCATAATAGTAACACTCAGTAATTACTATGGGCTAAGTACTGTTTTAAGTACTTAACATCTATTAACTCTTCTAAAATTCACAAGAACTCTGTAAGATTGTTGTTATTATTATTATTTTTTATCATCCTCAGTTTACAAATGAAGAAACCACAGCAGAGAAAGGATAAATAGCTTACTCAAATTCACCCCTAGATAGTAAATCAGGTTTGTTAATGAAGTTTAGAATGAAAGAAGTCTGGCCTAGAGTCTGCTCCTAAAGGCTCTGCTATGCTGTCTGTTGTTATGCTAGTAGCTGTTACTATTACTATCACAATCACATAGCAAGATATTGTCCCTCCCTTCAAGGAGTTTGCAGTTGAATGGGAATGACAGAGAAGTAAACCACTGATCTAACACAAGGCAAAATGTAAGGAAAACTGCACAAATATATACAGAAAAATATATTTATAATTCCATTGCCTAAAGATAATCAGCTTTACCTATTGTAGGATGAGTGTTAAAATAATAATATCTAACATTTACTGAATACTCACTGTATACCACGCCCTATTAAATGCTGTACATTTAATGCTTTTACTTCATCCTCACAAAAATCCACAAGGTAGTGCTATTTTCATCTCTATCTACTGTCAAGGAAACTGAGGTTAAAGAAACTGCCTGAGGTCTCATAATTAGGGATTTTGGAGCCCAAGTCAAAAGTGCTATGCTGTGGAGACTGGGGTGATGGTACATTTGACTGTGACAGGAGCAGGCCCCACTCAGGAGGAGGCCATGGCTCAGGCTCTGAAAGGCAGAGAAGGATTTGGCATGAAGAGAAGCATGTCAGCTAAAGGGGCAGCAAGGTGATGGCTGCAGACCAGACTGTCAACAGGGACTCTTAAAATTTCCTTTTTTCCAGATCTCGTCTGGCAGATTTTCAGACCCACTGCCATCCCATGGACATCCTAGGGACCTGTGCAACAGAGCAGTCCAGATGTCTGCGAGCATACATGGGGCTGATTGGTGAGGCTGGGGGATATGGGTAGGGAGCCAACAGGTTGGCCAGCCTGGCAGGTGAAAATGCTCTCAAGACTGAACCCAGATGGAGTGGTCCTGAGACAGGTGGGAGACGGATGGGAGATGAAGGCAAGGTTGGCTTAGTCACCGATAATCTTCTCTTCACCCCATAGGGACTGCCCTGACTCCCAATTTTGTCAGCAATATCAATGCCAGTGTTGCCTTAAGCTGCACCTGCCGAGGCAGTGGCAATCTGCAAGAGGAGTGTGAGCGGCTGGAAGAGTCCTTCTCCCACAACCCCTGCCTCAGTGAGTGCTCACCACCTGCTCCCAGTCCCTGTGGCTGGTTCAGCTCAACCCTGGGAGAGGGAAGGGGTCAGCTTTGTGGTCCACACTGGTTCCATCCATCTCCTGCAGATGGAGCAGCCCCCTCCTCAGCCCTCAACATAGGCTTACATCTCCCCAGCCTGGGCCTTTCTGCCTTCTCCCATTCCCTAAATGACCACCTCCCTGCCCCTGCCAAGCTGCCTCTTCACCTATCTGAGCCACAGGAACACTCTTCAGCTCAAGGAATAGCAAACAGAATGAGATAATATCCCACTTCCACCTGCCACACACCCACCCTGCTATATGCCAGGGTCCCTGAGACATTTCCTTTCCTTCTTTTGGAGCCTAAGAAATCTCGAACATCTGCCTGCTCTCAGTCTTCCTTCTCTCCTCAGTGGAGGCCATTTCAGCTAAGATGCGTTTTCACAGCCAACTCTTCTCCCGGGACTGGGCAGCCTCTACCTTTTCGGTGATGGAACGCCAGGTAGGGACTCCTCTGTTACACCCCCCTCCTGCCTTTTCTGGACCATCAGGGGAAACCCAGACAAGGGAGACAAGAGATTGGGGGTGGCGTGAGTTCATTGTGGTCATGAGGACTGTAGACCTCTAATGGACACCTCAGGGGAGGGGAACAGGCCTTGATGGAAGCTGAGGTGGTGCAAAGGGTGGAGCTGACTCCATTTCATTTTTTCCACAGAACAAAAACCCTGCTCTGAGGCCACAGCCTTGGGTGCCCACTCTTTTCTCCTGTACTCTTACCTTGATTCTGCTCTCGAGCCTCTGGTAGCTGGACTTCCTCAGCGGCCTTCTTCCCCTCTGCCACACCAGCTGACCTGCTGCCTGCAGTGGGTGAGGAAGGAACAGCATCGGGAAGGAGGTTCAGTCTACCACGTGGCAACCCTGACCTATGTCCAGTCAACTCCAGATGAGGTCATGGTAGAAGCTGACTAGCCTCGTTCTCATGCCCTTCACTTCTTTTTTTGTTTTGTTGTTGTTTGGCCGTACCACACGGCTTGTGGGATTTTAGTTCCCTGACCAGGGATTGAACCTAGACCCTCCCAGTGAGTACTCAGAGTCCTAACCACTGGACTGCCAAGGTCATTCCCTTCAGTTCTTCTTGGGCTGCCCCTTCTTAGGACTTCAGCGTATCACCTGGTGGTATCCAGCTCTCCCAGGCTCTCTCCTTATTTCTTTCTCCTGCCCACCCAGGGTCACTCAGGCTCTTAACAAATCAGTCACACTCTGCTGCATTCTCCAGGTAGGCAGAGTTGGGTGTTCTGAAGTGACCTGGAAAGACATTCCTCATGGTGAGGAAAGCTGGAGGAAGACTCCTGTCTATCCCTAGTTTTCTCCTCTGAGTGGGGGATGGGAACCTACTGCCAGCCCTGCCCCAGGATCCTACACAACACTTGCGCTTCAGGAGCTGGAGCATTTGGGCCTTGCTTTCTTCCTGCTGCTGTCCTAGAGTCCCCTTAGCCTCTTGGATTATGATTAAACATTTTGACTTAAAATTTTCTGTTTTCCCATTGTCTCACATTGTGAATTTATATAGAACAAGGGGTGTTACAGACACAAGAGCACAGGCCAGGTTATCTAAGAGACACAGTGACCCTGCCACCAGGTTCTGTGTGACCCCCAGGCAAGTCTCTCAGCCTCCTTGTGCACTTGACATGGAGTTGGAAGAAAAGTAACTTATGTGAGGCTGTACCAGGTACTAGTCCCAGCTGCTGCCTAGGATCTGCTACTCCCTGTACATCTGTACACATGAGAACCTATAGATATGTATAATATTTTGTAAGTAAGATCAGGCACTGCCTGTCAAAGTGTAAGTCACAGACCCCTTTCAACATCCATGAGAAGAGCTTGAAATACATCATCCTTTTCATCAGCTGCGTGACATGGACTTGTATGAATGCATTTTCCTACAGACATAGTTTATTTAACCAATTCTGTATTGATGAATATTTGTTTGTCTTCACATTTTTCTCTGAGCCAAGTTTTAAGGCAGCAAGGAGGTGACTGGGGGTAGGATGTGCAGAAGAGCTGCCAGAACAATGGGTGACATAGGGAAGCCACTCTCTAAACATTCTTGTATCCACATACCCCTGCCCCAGGAAATGCCTAGCCAACTTGCCATTCTGTACACTTCAGTGGGGTACCTGGTGGACTGTCCTCTATCCCCTCCCAGGAAGATCTCTGAACCATCAGGGCCTCTCCATTTGCTTTGGCTCTATTATCATGGGGCTGGGGAGTTGAATGGTATAGTCATTCCTTGCTAAGTGCTTGAATTAGACTAATAGGTCATCTGTACTTTTCTCTGAAGAAGGTCCAAATTCCTGGTAAACAACCAGACCACTCTCCCTGCTTAGGGCCCAGAGCCAAGACCTGGGGTGAGGGTGCACAGTGGCTGGACTGAAGCTTTTAATGGTATCCTGGCTGGCCAGGGTGGTTAATGCCATTAGACTAGTTTCTGGGTAATGAGGTGGGAAGGTCTGCTGGCAGTGGTAAGCAGAGAATGCTGAATTACAGGTCTCTGCATGGCTGGGGTGGAGCAGCCTGTCTTTTAAACAGCTATCTTGAAATTCACCCATTCAATCTTATATTCATTCAGCAAACCTTAGCAAGTGCTTGCTCTGTTCCAGGCTGTATTTTTGAAGATCTGTCTCTGCCTATTCATGTGCTAGCATTTTGGTGAAGGGGCAGCCCAGCCCAGGACTTTGGCAACTGGACCTTGGCTTTAGGCACTTGGGACTTTTCAGTTATCCTGGCTGATTGTAACACTCAGCTGTTTGACCTTGTGAAATACTCTTTATCCTTCTGAACCACCATTTCCTCATCTCCAGTAGGGATGTCAATAAGAGTACTTAAAGGTTGCATTTTTGCTTTTGTTTCAAATAAATACATTAGCAATTTAATTTCAGTTAAACAGATTAGCAACATCAACTAATATTTACATCAATTTAAATGGTTTTGGTTGGCAATGTTTTTGGCTTCTTATTTCTATGAAAGCTTATAAGCGTGAAGAATTTATGCTCATTTTGATCTCCATGTATATTTGTTAGATAATAGTAAAAACATTTAGAACTATTAGAATTGTTTGAAGACTGGAAATAATTATAATATTTAACATAGTGTCTGATACAGGATGAAGAGTCAATAAATGGCAGCTGTTACTATTATTATTTCTGGGAGGGGATCTGTGGGTATTATGTATTCCACTCCCAGCCCTGGAACCATGATGAGTGATGATGCTGGCTCTGCCTCCAACTGGGGGCTGAATTCTGGTTGGGGCTGCTTCTGGGAAATTTGCTATTCAAGCTCTGAACTCCAGGATGAAAACCAGAGCTCTCGGTTTGTAGCTCAGGCCCTGAGGGACCTTGGACCAGGTGTGGAGTCAAAGACGGTGTCTCAGTCAAGGATCTTTTGGCTGCAAGTAACAGAAGATCCCTTGGAGGAGGAAATAGAAACCCACTCCAGTATTCTTGCCTGAAAAATCCCATGGACAGAGGAGCCTGGCAGGCTATAGTCCATGGGGTCACAGAGTCCAACAGGACTTAGCAACTGAGCATGCACGCACACAACAGAAACATTAGAATTACTTAGTAAAAAGGGAATGTCATGCAACCTAACTCCAGGAAGTTCAGCTGGGCCCTTGGCGAGACTGAAACTAAAAAGTCAGAAGCCAGTCTTCAGCTCCAACTGTTGAAGCCCTAGACATCTTGGGCCATCTACTTCATTCTCTCTACAGACCTACTTCCTTTGCATGACCTTCCAGGGCCAGCATCTTCAACCAGATGACCTCCCATCCCAGTTCCAAAGTCATGAAAAATCTGACTGTGCACAGGTTTTAGATTGGCTTTCCTGGGTTGAGGGCTCATCCCAGGTCTATCAGCTGGGTAAAAGAAACACAGACACACATGCAACTAAAGTAATTACAGGGTCCCAGGCGTCTTAGCCAAAAGCAGTTCTCAGAGAAGCAGTGTGTCTCAGCAAGACCCCAAGAGCATAGACACTTGGCAGGGACTTGAGGTAGATTTTAATCACCCGAGGTCCAACTTTGCTTTTTTGTGGCTTCCTTCCTGGTGTAGGAGTGTCTTCTTTGAGTTTCCTTCTTGAAGGATGGGAGTTAGGGACAGAGGCCCAATGTTGTGGCTCCTTTGAGTCTGAGAACCATCCTGAGAGCTAAATGGCTCTCTTTTTTATGGCTGCAGAAGGAGGCTTTACTACTGTGGAGCTTGCTAGTTTTCTGGTCCTGACAGTTGAAGAGTGAAGCAAAGTCAAGGGGATCAGAATATGCCACTCTAAAATATGCCATTTTGGCATAAGGATTATTTTGATCTGAAGGCAATTAAGAACCAACAACAAGGTCTCTGTCCTCCCCTTACCTGCCTGAAAGGGCATAAATGAAGATGGGGAGTCAACACCAAGATAAGCTTGCACAAACAGACCTTACGAAAATAGCCATTACTTCCAATATTCCCCCCCATATATTTCTTAGTCTCTTCTGCACAATTTATTGTTCCCTGGGGCCCAAACTCTCTATCCTTTGTTAAAAGGGTACATAAGGCCCCTAGTCTAATCTCAAGTCTTATATAAGTTTCACTTCTTTTCTGTAAACTCGCATGTAGGTAAATATTAATAAAAACTGTACCTTATCTCTTGTTAATACGTCTTTTGTTAGTTTAATTCACAAGCCTGCAATTACTGACTATAAGAGAGTAGATGAAAAGGGTTTTCCTCCGCAACAGAAGCAGTGCCACTTCTTTGGCTGGTAACCCTCCATTTTTGCTTCTGTATCCCATCTTATTGACAGTCAAGGCTCTCATTCTCATTCTTCTCATGGAATCTTGGGTTCTCAAAAATTCCCGACTCTTTTCAGCACCTCTGATTCTCTCAGGAGGAAGCCTATTCATATGGGAGACTTGGTGCAATAAAGTTCCATCCTCAGATGCTGAGCTGGTCAAGGCCTTATCTGACATACTGTGGGAGTTGTGGGGGTGGAGGAGAGACAAAGACAATAATAATAACTAACATTTATTAAGAGTTTAATGTGTGCAAAGCACCAGGCTAATGGCTTAAAGAGCATTATCTCATTTGCTTTTCAGAAGTATCCTCTTTTATTTTCCTTGTTTTACAAGGGCATTGTAGCAAAGCTAAGCAACTTGTCCAAGGTTACGGGGCTAACACGTGTCTGATCCAGGATTCAAACCTCAATCTCCCTGACTCCCAGATGCAATCTTTGATCCAGTGATCACATTTGTTGGGGTGAGATCCCACTACCTAAATTTCAACAGAGGCCATGATGAGGAGTGTAGAGTCAGAGGGCTCTTTTAGGCTACAAGCATGACTTCCTCAAAGAGAAGGTATTTGGACTGGATCTTGAATGAATAGGGTTTATCAGGTAGAAACTGGGGAAAGGGCACCCCAAAAATCAGAGTGGGCAAGTGCAGGATGGAAAGGGAGGATGACAAGATGTCTGCTGTGACTGGAATTATTTGAGGGGAGGTGCTCTCAGGTCTTCCTGTCACTCAACTCCCCATTCCACTGTCCTAGGGGAGGGTTCTCCTCTGGGGACATACCCAACTGCAGAGCTGCTGTTGAGAAAGCCAGACCCATGAATCAGGCAGGAGTCTTGGGGAACTGGTGTGCCGAGTTCTGGCTTGGCATGCGTGGCATCTCTGGTCATAGGGAGCCCCATGGCTTCTTGACCCCTCAGTGATATCCAAGGGCACAGAGGTCATCACTGTGTGGGTGAACAGATAAAGTGAGACTGTGTCTGGCCTGGAACAGTGAAAAGCAGAAAGGGATAGCCCATCCCCTACAGAGGGATACCAGGAAATAACCACTCCCCACCCTTCCCACCCCTGACACCCATGATCTTCCAGTTGCTGTGGTCAACTGCAGTGTCAGGGCATTTCAAGAGTCTGGTCTTCCCAGACTTTGGTTGGCTTTGGGGTTCCCATGGAGGCTTCTTCCTGCTGTACCTACTGTGGACTAGGTATGGCAGGCAATAGGCACATGTAGAAATGAAGACAAATTTTGTGATGGAGACAAACAACAGAGACATCATTATTTGAGCACTTGATATGTGTTGAACATTGCACTGAGAGTTTTGGATATGTATCTTTTTAATGCTAAGTTGCCTCATAGGCTTGTCTCCACATGGTATCATCTGGCATCCATAATATTTGAAAAAATTTAAAGAATTGTTGTACAGTCTTTTGAAAAAAAAAAAATACACAGCAAAACCGAAATCCTTTCCCCCTATCTGTCTCTCTCTATTGTGTACCCAAAGCAGCAGCCATCCCCACAGAATCTCTTCTCTCTCCAGGAAGCTCAGAGGAGAGATTTACACCATGAATATATGGAGTTAATATTTTTCCTTTGTCTCATGTGTAATACAGTTTAAATTTCCTCATGTCTCTCTAAGGGCAGACACTATTATCCCCATTTTACAGATGGAGAAACAGATGTCCAGAAATGAATTATTGCCCAAGGTCACATAGCTAATCCCTGGCAAGTATCTTTTAAGCAGAATTTGTGCTTGCTGTGAAAGTACCTGTGATCTAGGGTCTGTGAGGCTCTTGAGGAAGAGGCAGTTCATTCTTTGTGGGGGGCTTCATGGAGGAGGCAACATTTGAGTAGAACCTCAAAGAATAAAGAGAAGCTCAACAGATAGAAAAGGGCAGTAGAAGTGTTCTTTAGGAAGGCAGGAAAGCCTGAGAGATGAACATAGCAAATTATGAGATGTCAGAAGAGAGGCAATCTCATTTCTCCCCATCTCATGCCTCCCTCTCAGTGGTGGTGGGTCTGGCATTTAGGAGACTTGCCTCATTTCCCAGCTTTGCCCCAGGCACATTCTGCCTGTGCCCTTTAAGAGCCTCCCTCACAAAGCTTCCTTGTGTCTTCTGAAAAAGACCATCTAGTTCAGACTGGTTTCCTACCCACCATTCCCCTCCCCGACATAGGGGAAGAGAGAGAGATGTGGTGATGGAACACAGAATGAACCCCCTCTTAGGCCAAATAAAATACACTTAATTCTTCAGGAATTACATGTCAAGAGTGTCTTAGGAAACGCAGCTCTCTAGCTGTTCAGTGGAAGCACGTTGTAGTGAAAAGAGCACAGTGGAAAGTGGATTCTCCCTTTGCATCTCAGCAGAACTACTTATCAGCTAGATGACGTCAAGCAAATTGCCTAACTTTGCCAAGCTTCAGTTTCTTGATCTACAAGAATCATGGGCCCTATTGTCAAAAGGTGGTGACTGGTAGGGTTTGTCACAGAGGGAGAAGAAATGGCTGGCTGGGAACATACTGATCTGATAGTTACTTTAGTATCGGGTGTCAGGGACTTGTTAAATCCAGATTTCTCCTGCAGGAAGTGGACAGTATAGGCCAGAAACTTGCATTGTTACTTCATGGGTTTAATGTCTAAATATATTTTTTCATATTCTCCCTTAGCCCAGAAGAGATTTGAGGTGGCTTATACAAATACACAATACAACAAAATGAAAATAAAGGCACAAAAACCAAGATGAAGAGAGAACAGTGAGTGATAGGTCATTTCAGTAATCTGTAATGTGTGTGAGCAGATCCTGCTCAGATGAATACCACTGGCACAAAACCCTTAGTATTAATATATCATGCTTGCAGGTAGTAGGGCTTAGAAAGTATATCTTAAATGGAGCTAAAGGTAATACTTCTATTTTAGAAATGAAACTGAGGTGAAGTCCTGCTCTGGTTTCAGCATATACTGTGCATATGCCTGCATGAGGGAGCAGGAGAAGAAACTGTAAATTATACAAAGTTTGGGTCCCTTGTGTTTGACAAGAGACCAGAGGCAGCTGCCTCTGCTTTCTCTGCTGCCCAAGGAATCACAAAACGTGATTGAAATGGCCAGACAAGAGAAGGGAGGCAAAAGAGAATAAACAGAAATTAGCATTTCAATAAATTATCCTGCCACTGAAATGTATGGAGTGTTTGTTATGTGTCAGTCAGCCTGCTCAGCCCTTCACATTTGGTATATTTCATGTTAATGTTGTCTATATTACATGTTAGAGGGAGCTAGCCTAGGAGCTAAGGACACAAGCTTGGGTAAGAGGGGTAGAGCCCAGTCTCCCTCACTGGCTTGCTGCAATCCTTGGTTGATTATTACCTATGTTCCTTCACCTGCGGACCCCAGTTTATCCCTTTCTTGGGTGGTGGTAGCGAATCTGTAAGCTAAAGCATGACACAATATTAGTATGCAGTAAACAAGATAAACAGCGGCAATAGTTTTTTGCCTTATAAGGATGGCTGCTGCTGCTAAGTCGCTTCAGTCGTGTCCGACTCTGTGCGACCCCATAGACGGCAGCCCACCAGGCTCCCCAGTCCCTGGGATTCTCCAGGCAAGAACACTGGAGTGGGTTGCCATTTCCTTCTCCAATGCATGAAAGTGAAAAGTGAAAGTGAAGTCTCTCAGTCATGTCCGACTCTTAGCGACCCCATGGACTG